CACTTTTGCTAATTGAATACTGTGCTCCTAGACCTCTAAAAATAGCCATTACAAATGGGCTCCAGCTTGTGGTAATACCCTCCTCATTGAGTCTTCTGTCCCATGGCACAGCCTTGCCCTCTAAACCAGCATCTACCACCATCTGGGAGCATGGGCAGCTAATGATATTATCCACTATTGCTATTTGAAAGAGATTTGGACTTGAAAGCACTAGGTTTTTTAGCTCTTGGGGAGGCAGTTTAGCAGAGTGGTTAACTGGTGAGCTCCAGAATCAGAAAGAATAGGTTCAAATTCCAACCACTATTACATCTCCACAATAAGAAAGTAGGCAAGTTGTTTACCCTAAGCTTCAGATTTCTTAAAAATAAAACAGCCAAGACCCTAGTACTTATCCTTGAGAGAACTTTAAGAAAAAAATAAGAAAATATATGCAATTTACATGCATACTACAATCCCCAGCATGTAACAAATGTTCAAGTAATGGGAACTGTCATTATTTTCGTGATTGTTCTATCGGTTTGTTCCTCTACGACCTCAAGGACATTACTAATTCTTAGCGAGTCTCGGCTTGTACGTGGGATGACATGAATAACACCATATCACCTCACATGGTGATTGTAAGGATTCGGTGAGATTATTCCGTAAACTATAAATCCTCTGTAAATATCAAGCAAGATTATTATTATTGCCATTGTTATTAGTCCGCAGGGTTTTTTGTTTTTGTTTTTGTTTTGTCTTACTCTCACTGCAACCTCCACCTCTTGGGTTCAAGCAATTCTCCTGCCTTGGCCCCCTAAGTAGCTGAGACTACAGGCACATGCTACCACATCTGGCTAATTTTTTGTAGTTTTAGTAGAGATGGGGTTTCACCAAGTTGTGCAGGCTGATCTCAAGTGATCTGCCCACCTCGGCCTCCCAAAGTGCTGTGTTACAGGTGTGAGCCACCACACCTGGCACAGCGATCTTAATTGAAAAGTCTGTGGATAGCTTTCCAAAGGAAAGCTTGGGTCTAGGATAAGAATCAAGAGAGAATGGGAGAAGGTGAATAGCCTCTTCAGGGCCTTTCTAGCATCCTAAATATGTGTGTCTGTACATAAGGGGTGATCACATATATCACAAATTAAACCCTCTGCAAACTTATTTCCTAATCAGTTGGTTAACCTTTCCTTCTGAAGGGTAAACCTTTTTTTTTTTCAAGAAACAAAACAATATTTTTATTTTCCACTTTGTTATTTTGTTAAAAAATAAAAAATTTGCCATTTTTACCTTTTTTTTTTTTTTTTTTTGAGACAGAGTCTCGCTGTGTTGCCCACACCCCAGTGAGCTGGAGGCTCAATGTTTTCTTAACAGTCTCACCTTTGTTGGTGTCAGTAGGAAACAGTATTTACCCACTACTGTTTTCATTTTAAAAATCTGTCTAGTTGCATACTAGAAACAGTTTTAGCTGGTTTGTTTGTGTTGGACAAGCTGTTAAAGTAAAAAGGTTTTGCCTAGATGAATGTGGGACAGTTTCATAATCCTTCAAGAAGTGCACCAAAGGTGGATGCCAGCTCCGATGATGGCTGCTTCTAACATGCCTCCACTTGCCGCCCATTGTCAAAGGTGGCCAGCATAATTAAGTTAAGACAATGAGCAAAGCAACAGATGCAACTGAGACCCAGTCCCTGAGTGCTTTTGTTTTGTCACTGTCATTGTCTGCAACAAAGAAGCCACATGTGACAGCCTGGGACGAGAGCCAAATGCAAACCAGATGACATCCCAGCTGGTTTGAATGGCCTCCACCAGGCACGTGTCTGCACGGGAACCATGCTACTTGGCACAGCATCTGCTTCACTCAAGTGAAGTTTCAGCCCATGGCTTCGCTGTGATCCTGAGACAGACCCAGAAGAAACAGACCAAGGGAGATCCCTCTGCTCAGATTTTACACTTTATGTCTTGTTTTTTGAGAGAAAAGAAAAGAGAATCTCTCTATTAGAGACAAAAAATAAGATGTATGTGGTTGGCCATTCTGACCTCAATTATTTTTGCTATAACCCCCTGCTAATTTAAAGAGTGAAGCATAGGTGGTATCTTAATATTTCCTTGTAGAAATTTGCAATTAAGTTGGCTTGAGAGAAAGAATGGAGATTAAACGCTTTAGGAGGCTTTCTTTTAATTTGTTCCCATTTCATTCTTGAGTATTTTCTTAATTGAGGCATTGAAGATGCTGAAAGATCTGATTTTCAGCTGGCATGCCTTGTAAATGGAAAAACAAAAGGCAAAATTCAAATTAGTGTGTTTCTCTGCTGTGAATTAATTTGGTTAGTAGTTAGGCAGAGAGGTGGCATCCTTAATAATATGTGTTTTGGGGGTTTGATAAGCTACAGACCATCAACAGTGTTGATTGAGAATTGAACAGAAATGTTTCAAGGAGTTTTAGAACATTAATGATGCTGTTCTGTGGCCCTATGTGTCCTTCTCTCATTTTTCTAGAGAACTCCTATAAGAAAGCAGAACATGGCTAAGCATGGTGGTTCATGCTTATAATCCCAACATGTTGGGAGGCTGAGGCGGGCAGATGACCTGAGGTCAGGAGTTCCAGACCAGCCTGGCCAACATGGTGAAACCCCATCTCTACTAAAAATACAAAAAATTAGCTGGGCATGGTGGTGTGCACTTGTAATCCCAGTTACTTGGGAGGATGAGGCACAAGAATCACTTGAACCGGGGAGGCAAAGGTTGCAGTGAGCCAAGATCACGTCACTGCACTCCAGCCTGGGTGACAGGGTGAGACTCCATCTCAAAAACACAGAAAACAGAACATGACATAAGATTAAGAACACAAGTTTACTGGGAGCTTAACAGGAGATGCTTTGCACCACAACAAACGCATCTTAAGTGGTCTTTTGTGATATTTGAGGGAAGGTGCCAGGATTAAAAACAGATGGCATTTCAAGTTATTCTATACAAATGCCCAGTTTCTTTCTACCAGCTTTTTTTCCTTTTTGCAGTGGTCACTGACCTATTTTAATGAATGCTTTTCCACAATGATGCCATCTTCCTTCTACTCAGTCAGTATAAGATGTTGACCATCAACAAAATGCAAGCTACCTTTCATGAAGGACTTGGTGATAGCTCTAATGTTCCAAGTAGAACTGAAAAACATGTGTAAGAAAAACTGCCAGATCCCTATGGGCCTTGACCGATAGGTATTATTTCCAAGGAGTGGTGGTTGATTTTTTTTCCCCAGCCTCCATATTAAAACCTCTCACCTTCTCCAGGTCAAGGTCTGAGTAATCTCAAATGTGTTCAGCTCCTCACAATGTTGTGATTGTGTGGGTATTCACTACCTTAGCCAGAGGGAACAGTTTGAAGATTCCAGGTATCATGGAGAGAACTCCTGTTTTTGGTTTTGAACCTCATTCTATACCAATAATTATCCATCACATCCTTCTATAGCGGGATCTCTGGCTAGAGGTAAAACCAAAAAAAAAAAAAATAGTACCTTAGGTTTATGCATATAAATGCCAGTTCCTCCTTCATTTTATTTCAAAACTCCTTATCTACATACCTTGCTATTTAAATTATTCAAGGATAAAATAATAACTGTAAGAAAAGTATTATAATATAATGACTTAGTTCTGCACATCACAAGGGAGTCCCTCATACCCATTCATTCATTTAACTCATTTTACAGACATTTATTGAGCACCTGCAATAACCTGGACACTGTTTTAGACACTGGGACTGTAACAGTGAACAGACAGACACATCTCTGCTCTCACAGCACTTCTATTCCAAACAAAACTCAATATACAGGCCAGGTATAGCGGCTCATGCCTGGAATCCCAGCACTTTGGGAAGCCAAAGCTCGTGGATCACCTGAGCCCACTAGTTAAAGACCAGCATGGGCAATATAGCAAAACTCTGTCTCTACAAAAAATAAAAATAATTATTCAGGTATGGTGGTGCATGCCTATGGTCCCAGCTACTCAGGAGGCTGAGGCAGGAGGATTGTGTAAGCCTTGGAGGCAGAGGTTGCAGTGCACTGAAATGGCACCACCACATTCCAGTCTGGACGACAGAGAGAGACCCTGTCTAAAAAACAAAACGAAACTCAATATCCTTAAGATAACATCATTGCTTGTTGATGAGGGATGGTAGCACCACATTAGGAACCCAGAACTTTCAGTCTTGGTATGGTTACTTTCCTATAAAGGTGACAATACTAAGAGGAAAAATGAGTTAATAATGATAATAATGAGTTAATAATAAATAATGAGTTAATAATATGCAGTGCTTACCATGTGCCAGGTCTATTGTAAGTACTTTTATATATATGATGTAATCTTTGATCCTATAAGGTAGATATTATTATCCTAGTTTGAATAATGAAGAAACTGAAACACAGAGATTGCCACTCATAAAAATTTACATAGCTAGAAAATAGAAGAGCTACAATTTGAGCTTAGCCCAGTATGTCTGTGATTTTATAGACTCAAAATTAATTATAAGACTTCCTAATCTTCAATTTCTAAAACTCTGCCTTGCTCTAGAAGAAAACAAGAAAAACAATGAAAAAGAAATGTTTCATTTTTTTACAAAAATTAAAACAGAACAAACTGCAATAAAACAACAAAAGATGATCCCAGAATGTGATTGATTTTGTTTCTTACTAGGAGAGGAGCCAGAGGCCAGAGGGCTGGATTTTTCAGGATCTTGTTCCTATCAATGAATCTGTGATAGAGGCAGATGAATCCAATCTCATCTTTGTGTATTTATAAAGCTCTCTGTGGTATTCACGCCACCAGGGATACAGGGACGATGTCTGAGTGAGGTTTGGCAAAAGTATTAAGGGCTTGTACACCTATATACACCCTTCTCAAGAAAACCAAGGCCCAAGTTCTCTATTAGCTCAACTGGTAAGGCGTAAGATATGGAAGGTTGAGACCCACTGTAAGAAATAGATGGATAAATAAAACTTCATCAAGTTAATGTCACTTTTTCTTCCTTATTTATAGGAAGTACATCTGAAGAACGCAAGTAGGGGGAGTGCAGGAAACAAGAACTACAGAATGTAGGAAGACCCTCCTGAGAAGTGAAGAGCAACATGCCACCGCAGAATCCTTTGCTCTGCACGAGTTACCTGTTAAACTTTGGAATAACTACCAAAAAATAAGTTTGATAACATTGAAAAGATGGGCGTTTCCCCCAATGAAATACACAAGTAAACATTCCAACATTGTCTTTAGGAGTGATTGATAAAAGGTTTGCACCTTGAAAAAATTGTCCTGGAGTTGGTAGATTGCTGTTGATCCTTTATCAGTAATGTTCTATAGAAAAGAAAAAAAAACATATATATATATATATATACATATATATATATATATACACACACACATATATATCTTAGTCCCTGCCTCTAAAGAGCCACAAATGCATGGGTATTATGTAGATCCAGTTGCACTAAATTCCTCTCTGAATCTTGGCTGCTGGAGCCATTCATTGAGCAACCTTGTCTAAGTGGTTTATGAATTGTTTCTTTACTTGCACTTCTTTCTACACAACATGGGCTGTTTGTTTTACAGTGTCTGATAATCTCCTTCATCTACACCCACCACCTCCCTTCATAACCTTTACATTTGCCGAATTTGGCCTCCTCAAAAGCAGCAGCGAGTCCTCAAGAAACATACCAATTTCTAACCCACAAGATTCCATCTGTGGCATTTGTGCCAAATATAAGTTGGATGCATTTATTTTAGACATAAAGCTTTATTTTTCCACATCATGCTTACAAAAAAGAATAATGCAAATAGTTGCAACTTTGGGGCCAATCATTTTTAGGCATATGTTTTAAACATAGAAACTTGCTTCAACTCAAAACAGTTTCTTCAAATGAGGAGTTAATGTGCAACCTGATTAGTAACTTTCCTCTTTTTATTTTTCCATATAGAGCACTATGTAAATTTAGCATATCAATAATACAAGGTATATCAAACAGTATATAAAACTCTGTTTTTTAGTATAATGGTGCTATTTTGTAGTTTGTTATATGAAAGAATCTGGCCAAAACGGTAATAGGTGAAAGCAAAACAAAAGGGGAAGCCTGGAGCCAAAGATGACACAAGGGGAAGGGTACTGAAAGCTCCATCCATTTGGGAAAGAAGGGAAAGTCCCCCAAATTATGCCTTCCAAGAGGAACTTCAGACACTAAAGTCCACTGAAGCAAATTGGACTGGCGAGTCCAGAGAGGAAATTGTGGAATGGAAAAAGCAGAAGGCTAGGAATTTTAGCAGTCCTGGTTTCTTTTTCTCACTGAAGAAACAAACATTTGCCAGCTGTGCCATGGACTCACCAGTGTGACCTTGGGCAAGTCACTTCACCTCTCTGTGCCTCAGTTTCCTCATCTGCAAAATGGGGGCAATATGTCATCTACCTACCTCAAAGGGGTGGTATAAGGTTTTTAAAGATAAAGCTTCAGGTTTGTTTGGTTTTTTTTTTACCCTGGGTTGCTGTAAGGGTGCAACATCAGAGTGCTTGAGTTGCTGAGATTCTATAAATAACCCATTCTGAGATTCTATAAATATAAGGAATTCTATAAATAACCCATCTGTAGCGTAGCTAGAGATCAGTTAATTGAACGCTCCTGACATCTCAGTTCTTGTCAGTGAAGCTATCCAAATAACTGGCCAACTAACTAGTTGTTAAAAGCTAACAGCTCAATCTCTTAAAACACTTTTCAAAATATGTAGGAAGCATTTGATTTTCAATTTGATTTTGAATTCTGCATATGGTTTTATGAATACAAAGATAAGTGAAGAGAGGAAAAGGAAAAGAAAAAGGAGAAAAACAAAGAGATTTCTACCAGTGAAAGGGGAATCAATTGCTCTATTTATTAGCACTCACTGACTCTTCCATGCAGTTACTATGTATCTAGTATAACCTCTTTTCATACTATAAATAATATTCTATTCTTTTTGAAAAACACGATTCCTTCTTTTCTAGGCAATATAAGGAAAATGACCCAAAGTTTGAAATACTAAAACAATAATAAAAAGTCACAAAGTCATTTTCTTTAACAAATTTTGCTCTTATTCTTAGCTGTATATACATTTTTTAAAACTTTTGTTAAAATATGTTTGACTGGAGTTGTCAGCTGAAAGGCAAAAGCTGCCATCCAACAAGAACTTTCCCACTTAGAAGGGTAGGCCCTAGCTCTCTGTGAATGCCTTTTATCCGTTCAACTGAAAATTGGTATCAAGAAAGTCCAGAGGTTAGTACAGGTTCATCACAGCCTATAAAATAGCCCCCATCTGCAGATCAAGATTTTCTCGTCAGAACAATTAATTGTCCAGCATTCAGATCTTTTTATTCACCTTAGAACTTTTTGGTTAAAAGCATCCAGGCTTATTTCATGCAAATTTTGTATTTTACCTCCTTGGAAAGCGTATATGTAAAACAAAAATAACATCTTCAGTTTTTCTCCCACTGGGTCACCTCAAGGATCAGAGGCCAGAAAAAAAAAAAAAAGAGAGAGAGAGAGAGGGAGAGAGAGAGACTCTCCCTAGATCTCTGAATATATGCAAAAAGAAGGCCCTATTTAATGGAGTCAACACTCCTGTTCAGTTAATAAGTATTTTAACTCTCAATCCAACAGATTTGAATTAAGCACCTCAAGCATGCTCAGCAATGTCCCAATCACCATGTACAGACGTAGAAGAAACTCTACATCTGCCTGTTTTCCAGACATATGGGTTCTGTGGAATAAGATACTAGACTCCTCTTCCCAAAATGGCACTTCTTTTTATTTCTTGTTCCCATTATGTACCTTTTAAAATTATTTACTCTCAACAAAACTTTATAAGCAGTCTTCTGCAGACTTATGTGTTTTCTGTCATAGTTAGATGTGATAATTCTAAGACGGTCTATTACTTATTTTCTTCATTTAATTCTATCCACAGTCAAAAATCCCCCAAGGAGGAAAGCTGAAAGATGCATTGCCACATTATCTTTCTTAACTTTTTCCAACACATAATCCTCTCTAACTGGATCATAAATCAACAAATTTAATATAACTCATTATGCTATTTTTTTAATGAATTAAAACTAGAAAACAAACTGATGCAAACTCTGAAAGTCAGTCAATTATTATATACTACAGCAGAATGACTCGGACTTCATAGAAAAGAGCAACAAAAATGTCATAACCCAAAACTTTACAAGCTTTGCTTCAGAATTCGATTGCTTTATAATTTTTAAATGAGGCAATTTAAAGATATTTGTAAAAGAATGATAAACATTGGTAAGGATGAGCTTTCAGCTTATAGGCTTATTTCCAATTTAACTGACCATACTTAATACTTAGGTCAAATTTCTGTTCTCTCTTCCCCAGATAGTGTTAACATTATTTGAACTTTTTAAAATGAGGAGGCTCCCCTGAAAAAGTTAATGCAGCTCTCCATCAGAATCCACTCTTCTAGGGATATGAAAATCTCTCAACACCCACCCTACATACACACACACATACACACACACACACACACACAAGTACACACACACAAACACCCTAAGGATCCAATGGAATACTGAAAAAAAAAAACACTTCCTTGAAAATTTTATTGAACGCAAACAAACAAACAAACAAAAAGCCGTCCCTCCCTCGAGAATCCTTCTTCTCCTTGGAATGTCAGTGTTTGCGTAGGTGAAACCATCCCGTGTTCTGTGGCTCCAGAGTTTCTGTTACTACTTTATGCACTTGGGAGAAGGCTTAGAATAAAAGATGTAGCATATTTTGCTTTCCCACTTATTGTTTGGCCAGCTATGCCAATGTGGTGCTATTGTTTCTTTAAGAAAGTACTTGACTAAAAAAAAAGAAAAAAAGAAAAAAAAGGAAGCATAGACATATTTTTTTAAAGTATAAAAGCAACAATTCTGTAGATAGATGGCTTAATAAAATAGCATTAGGTCTATCTAGCCACCACCACCTTTCAACTTTTTATCACTCACAAGCAGTGTACTGTTCACCAAATTGTGAATTTGGGGGTACAGGGGCAGGAGATGGAAATTTTTATAAGTTAGAGGATTCCATTGTTTTGTTGGCAAAATTAGCAATATATTATCCAATCTTCTGAACATCTTGATCAAGAGCATGGAGAATAAATGCGGGGAAAAGATCTTATAGGAAAATAGAAAAATTTAAAAGATAACTAAGTTCCTTATTGATTTTTGTGCTCTCTGCTCTAAAACACATATTCAGCAAGTGGAGAAAATGTGCACAAAGAGAAAAAATACATAGATTTACCTGCAAAAGAAATAGCTTCTACCAAATCCCCCTTCGGTATTCTTTGGTATTTACTGGTTTGTAGAAGATATTCTCCCTTACCCAGACATCTCAAAGAGCAGTAGCTCTCATGAAAAGCAATCACTGATCTCATTTGGGGAATGCTGGAAAGTATTTCCTCAAGAGACAGGGCTTACCTACTGATAAAGAAAGAGAGAATTTATGAGAAATCATTGAAAGAGATGGCTAACAATCTGTGAAGATTTTTTGTTTCTTGTTTTTGTTTTGTTTTTGATTTTTTATACAGTCTTTATGAATTTCTTAATGTTCAAAAATGAGTTGGTTCTTTTCTTCTTTTTTTATATTGGAATAAGGAATAATAAATTAAACCCACATAGACTCTTAAAAACTATAGGCTAGATAGAAATGTATGTTTGAAACTATAATCAGACTATTTAAAATGTTTTCCTATTTTTAATCTTAAAAGACTGTGTTAATTTATTAGAGCAAAACCTATTTGGCTCTCCTCATGAGAAAGAATATTTCCATTCAAATCACATGGGCTTTCCACCAATATTTTCAAAAGATAAATCTAATTTATGCAATGGCATCATTTATTTTAAAATAGAAGAATTGTGAAACTTTATGCCCCTCCCTTGCAAAGATCATAAAGTCCAGATCTGGTCGGGGGCAACAACAAAAGGAAAATGTTGTTGATTCTTGGTTTTGGTTTTTGTTTTATTTTCAATGCTAGTATTAAATCCTATAGTACCTATTTGCTTATTGCTATTTTAATATTTTTTAAGACCTTCCTGTTAGGTATTAGAAAGTGATACATAGATATCTTTTCTGTGTAGTTTCTACTTAAAAAAGAAAGAAGACTGTCAGAATCTTTAAGTGCATATGGTACAGGATAAAGTATCAATTTAAATAACCAATTCCTATCTGGAACACTGCTTTTGTTTTTTAAAGAAACCTGTCACAGATAAGACAGAGGCCCAGGAGATTTTTGAAGGTATCTTTATTATGCCCCTGTCCCAACCCAGTTATTATTATTTTAGTATCTGCCTCAGGATTTTATAGATGGATGAACAAGCTGAAACCCTAGAATTAAAGGAACCTCATTAAAAACGTATATTTCACATTTTGTTTTGTTTTGTTTTGAGACGGAATCTCTCACTGTCATCCGCGCTGGAGTGCAGTGGCATGATCTCGGCTCAATGCAACCTCCACCTCCTGGGCTCAAGCAATTCTCCCACCTCAGCCTCCCAAGTAGCTGGGGTTACTGGTGCCCACCACCACACC